AGGGCTTCTGGGGGCTCGTGGCAGAGCCCCCCACACAGTGGGAGGCAGTGGGGATTGCTCCCCGCGGGGCAGCACCCAGTGAGTTGGGGCTTTTTGTGTGTTTTTTTTTTAAAGGGCCGGGAGCTGCGGCTGGTGGGGCAGCCATGGGGGGTGGGGGGGCGCTGGGACAGTAGGCAGGGGTCAGGAGGCTTGTGGCAGAGCCCCCCGTGTGGCATGGGCAGCAGGGATCGCCCCCTGCCTGGCAGCAGCTGGTGAATGGGGGCTTTTTTTTTCAAAGAGCCAGGAGCTGGGGTGGGCAGAGCAGCCATTGAGAGTGGGCGGGGGGTGGGGACTGTGTGATTCAGAGATTCGGCTGATTCGGCAGAAGCCCCAAGTCTCTGAATCAGATTCAGCCAAATCATTTTGGGACAGTGATTCGAAGCACTGAATCAAATCACTGTCCCCCGAATCGGCCAAATCCAAATCCGAAGTGAATAGTAGCCATTTCACACAGGCCTACTGGACACTAGCCTGACTTAATATTGGCTTTAGTAGCTAAGCACCCATATATAACAAGAGGTCCATATCAGTGTCTGTCACCTTGAGAACTTTATGATTTGTTTTCTGAATATATATAGGAAGCAGGATCTCTCTCTAAATGTTATTCTAATGTTTTAAAAGATACTACACAGAAATCAGCCAAATTATAGGACTAAAATCCACCAGAGAGAGCAATGCTTCACCTTCAGACAAAATCCTGAACTCTGAGGGGAGTGGGATTCTTTTGTGACACTTTTAAAGAAGAGAGGATACAAGTCACCAATTCCTTTGTCTTTAATGTTACCACAAGGATTTTCACCTTTGGAGTGTAGACAACCCACCTTAAAAAACAAGAGCAGCCAGCAAAGCAATTCCATAGGAACATGCTCTCTCTTTTTTTCCCCTTAATATTCTTTCTTTTTAAAAAAAGACTAGACATCTCCTGGATTTTGCCTGTAACTGGTTTCTCGAGGGTACACTTTTTTCAACATTCGATAGCACAGAAGGCCAAGCAGCCAGATTTTTACCCACAAGAGAAAAGCAAACCTTACAGGAATGTAAACTGCACACTCAAGGAGCAGGCTGCCCTTATGAGAAGTCTACCTAGTACATATATAGTTATGCTAATACTCTACTGTATGCATTCCCACATTATCTTGTTATATTATATTTAAAAACATAGCAGCACTATAATAATAATTTGCTTTTAAAATAATCTATGAGTCTGGGTTCTGCTTTTATTGGCATCTATGAATCGTTCACTACCATTTTAAAAATTAACATTTTGGGAACTTGCCTTACAGAAAGATTTCAAAATGTGCATGGACATCATCATCATCATCAAAAAATGGTACTTAAAGGGTCCTTCTGCTAATGCAGAAATTCTGTGGAAAATGTAGCAAATTAAGCATTTCCACAAGCTTGGTAAAAATTAACATTTGTCTTTTAGTAATAGCCGGGCTTCACAAATAACAGTGCAATACAATAAAAATCTTGTATTTTTACAGTCCAAAAATACAAGATTTTATAGGCCACATACAATGTATGCCTTGGTTTTCTTTTTCTTAAATTTAGGTCAGTCTTTCATTCCTTTTGCTATTCTTTCTTCCTATTCATGCTTGGCTACTATCCTACCAATAAGCTAAACTGGCCTACTTACACTCTGGAATGTGGTAGTATTTGGAACTCACAAAATGGAAAAAACAAGAAATATGCAATTCAGTGTTAAATGCTGCTTATTATATAAAAGGCATTTGTTTCCCATGTTTTCCATTCACATACACCCAAAGATAATTAAGCAAGGTATGGGACTGTGGAATCATTTTTCAGATACAATAACTGAGAGGAGCCTATCAACCAGGGGATAAAAACTTGTTCTACTTTATTAAAAATAAGTTCTTTGAAAAGCAGTGATATAAAATAATACCACTCTTATACCAAGACAAGTGCAGCTATACCTGTTCAGGCTGGTGACAATTGTTATTGCTGCTCTTTTCGTACTATTTCTGCAGAGATAGCACAGCTCAGGAGTGAGGTGGAATCTACGCTTCATTTATCATCCATAGAATTGTTTGCTATAGCAGCATCAGCTCCACTCTGGTGGCAGCAGCACTGGCTGGGCTCCCTGTGAGCTGACTTTGGTGACCCATTCATTCCTCCCCACCCCCGAAACATACATATTGGGTACAAGGCTGAGCCTGCTCAGACACAAGGTCCCTGGGGCAGGGGGGCACCATTCTGCACTCCCGTTTATCCCCAGACACACTGCTAGGTGCAATGCAGCTCTGCCCAGCTCCTATGGCCAGGAAAGGAGAGTGCAGGGTTGCCCCTGCCATGACAAAGATTCCCAGGGTATGTCCACACGAGCACACACGTGCACTTTGTGGTGCCTCAAAGGCTTTTGAGGTGCCACAAAATACTCCCTGCATATATGATTTGGTTCCCCACACTGCAAATATGCAGCACATAGCCAAACTCAGATACCAGGAAATCCTGGTATAAAAAACAAAAAGCATGATGAAAAAAGCAGGGTGGCACACATGGCAGCAGCATGTACCACCTGAAACTGGAGCCTGACCAGCCAGAGCCACGCTCCAGCTGCCAGCCAGGCTCCTTGCACCCAAGATTACTGCTGCTGCAGCCCCAGAAGTACCCCAAGATCCCAGGTAAGGCTGCTGGGGCCAGTCAAGGTGCTGGCCCCAAACTCCCCTATCCCACCTGGGGAAATCTGCCCCATGCCAGAGCATGCATGCAGGGGCATTTCATAGGGACTACTAGTAGCAGCACAAATATGTGCCATTGCTATTTGTCCCCTGGGAAATCCATGTGCATGCTCATCTGGACATGCCTCTGGCGGGGGCGATTCTGGTGCCCCTTCATAGGGGCCCCTGGGCCTAATGCCCCACTCACTCTGCCCTAGATTAATAGATTTCAAAGACATTAGGGCTAAAAGGGACCTCACAAGATCACTGGATCCATCTTCCTACCCAAGGGGCAGGAAGTCAGCTGGGGTCAGATGACCCCAGCAAGATAAGCATCCAAACACAACTTGAACATGTCCAGAGTAGGTGCTTGCACCATTTCTGGGGGGAGTCTATTCCAGACTCTGGACACTCAGACAGTAAAGAAGTTTTTCCTTATGTCCAGTCTAAAATGGTCTTCCAGCAGTTTCTAACCATTGGACCTTGTCTTCCCTTTGGGTTCCCTGATGAACAGACGTTCTCCCAGGTCCTGATGTACACCCCTGATATATTTACAGGCTGCCACCAAGTCCCCCTGAGCCTACACTTTTCCAAGCTGAAGAGTCCCATGCCTCTCAGCCTCACCTCATAAGGCCTGCTCACTTGACCTCCAATCATGTGTGTGGTTCTCCTCTGGACTCTCTTGAGCTTCTCCACATCCTTTTTAAAGTATGGAGCCCAGAACTGGATGCAGTACTCCAGTTGATGATGATATCTTGGGTCTTGCTTGAGATGCATCGGTAGATGCAAACCAGGGTTTTGTTTCATCGGCTGCAGCATCGCATTGGTGGCTCATATGCATCTTGTGGTCAATCATGACCCCCAAGTCTTTTTCGGACATAGTGCTAGTGAGTGAAGCATTGCCAAGCCTATAGGTATACTGTAGGTTCTTTCTCCCAAGGTGGAGCACCTTGCATTTCTCTGTATTGAAGGTCATCAGGTTTTTGTCTGTCCACTTTGCAAGCCTGTCTAAGTCAGCTACTGTTGAGCCTGTCTAGATATGCTACTGTTGCCCCAAAAGGCAACGCAATCTAATCAGCTACCAGTAAGAGCACAGTTTTAAGGCAGAGCTGTCCAACTGGCATCCCCCAGGCTACATGCAACCCATTGGATCCCACCTGGCTGCCACGCCCCTTCCCCACACCCAGCTGCTTCTGCCCCAGTGGCTGGGAAGGGGCTGGGGTGCCCAAGCTGCTCACATGGCAAAAAAGGGTGCCAGGGTGCCCATGTTGCTGATGGGTGAAGTGTACAACTACAGCAGGGGGGTGGAAGGGTGCTGCATGTGCAGCAAGGGTGAGCCAAGCTGTCTGTGATATGTACATGGCAGTGGGGGACACAGGACAACCCATGTGGTAGGGGAGAGTTAGGTGGTCATCTGTCTGCTCACACAGTGTGTGACCCTCGGCTCTGTGGCCCATGCAGCGTATGGCCCTGCAGCATGTGACCCCTAGCTGTTCAGAAGCTGGACAGCCCTGATTTTAAGGTAAAGGGTTTTTACAAATATCACAGAGGCCATGCACAGCCTTTATCCCAGGTAGTGATGCAAGGAAATGATAGAGACTAGCTTGACATGCAGATCTTGAGCTGGCTTTTTCAGGGCAGGCAGTTGGCAAATTATCATTTGTCTTGTACAGAGAGCGCATGTGAGCTGGAAACCATCAAAAGGCACAACTAATTTCACACTGCTTTTCCAAAAGAAAGCCAAGTTTCAGAGTTGAGTTATGCCTTATGTGTGATCACAGACTTCTGCTGAGGATATGTACTACCAGATAGATCATCAAAATTTTGCCATGGAGGTTTACAGCAATCTATGAGAGAGAAATGGGGAATAGGATGCCGGGTAGAAATCAGTCATTTAAAATGAACCAGCTCCTTACCATAGAACAGAAATGCTCTTGTCATGTGATTATGCTGGTAGGTCCTGTTGATGGTAAAGAAGCAAAGATCCTTTCCACACTCCCCTAGTCTCCCTGTCTCTCCAGTCAGAGGGGACCACCAGAGCAGGATAGGATATTGGTCTACAGCCATGGCTGTCTTCACATCACTAAAGAGTTCCTGTTTCTTCAAGAACTGATAAGCTTGTTTCTTCTCTTCTTCCAGTTTTAATGGGCCATCTTGCAAGCTGGAGAGAATTATTTCTTTCCTTTCCGATTTGCCCAATTCAACTACCACCTGTGAAAAAAACACATACACATACAGCCTAAGCTCCATTATCAGAGATGTACAGTTTTGCCTATGAAATACTAATTAAAACGTATTAACCTTGTGTAAGGTTTCTGTCAGTGAAGTGTTGCCAGCTCTTAAAACAGTTGACAGCAGCTGCTTAGTAATAGTAAGCAACACTGCACAGCTGCCTCAGCTTAGGCATCAACTTGAACTGTTATGGGAATACAGATATACAAAGGGTAAATGACTCAGGTTGAAATACAGCCAGGGCACCAATAGCTTCAAATGTATTTTCAGACTGCTAAAGAAAGACAGAATAGAAGACAGACAGCCTATTTTTCTAAATGAGTCCTACTGGTTACAGGAGGGATCTTTTAAAAATGATGTCTGCATACATGAAAAAAGTTAACAGATCAGTTAGAATTGCCAGGGGATGGTACTCAGCCTCATCCCTGGGGTATGCTGGACATATAAACCTTGATGTATATGACCTCTTGTACACTGCTCTTAACATCTCCAATGCGAGAAGTTATGTTAATCAGAGTTGGAGCTAGAACGCTCTGCACACAGCTCTAGCAAGAATGTTTATGGTAGCACAAGTTGCAAGCAAACAGCCCCTTATCATGCTCTAACTATGAAAAATGTTGACATGACTAAAGATAGTCACAGTTTGTGATGCTTTATAAAAGGGAAAGTCCGTTTGCTTATTGTGCACCACAGGAACTCCCTGCAGGAGATTCCCACAGGGTGCATATCTGGTTGCCACACTCCAGCTCAGGGCACGTGTCTGCAAGCAAGAGAACCCCCATGGGGGTTCATCCACTTGGAAACGCACACCCTGGGTTGGGAAACAGCACCCAGGGCCGTTGTCCCACAGGCTCAAGCTCCCAAAGCCCTTAGGGCAGTAGGGAGCTAACCCTTTGGGACAACAGCCGTAGGCAATGTCTGTAGACACCAATGAAATGGATCAGTTGTACCAAGGCATCCTGGTACACTGAAAACTGCTCCAAATTACAACACCTGTTTATACCCCAAGAGCCAAGTGGGGTGGCTGTGAAGGAGAATATGTGAAAGGCTTGGGTGGCTTACATTGTGCTGATCAATGCCATTTTTTAGTATTCATTTCCCAACAGCCTCATACACTTTCATGTGCACTGTGAAATAAAATGCTGTCATTTTAACGTTGTAAACTGCACTGTTTGACTCTGTGACTCACTGAAGAGTGGGATATTCTATATAAGAAGCTATACAAAACTCAGATGTGTTACAGGATGCAAGAACAATCTCTTGTTGGCAGGGAAAAGGGCTGGAAGGTTTAACTGTTGTTTTTCCATTTGGGTTTGTTTGTTTTCAATAACTATTGTCTATGATTATACAATTCAACTTCTGGACAGGTCTGAACCTACTTAGCTGAGGAGTTCTGTTGAGATGACAGCCTTTGAAGAAGGTAACCACAGCCACAATGGACTTAAATTAACTAATTGTTGCTATCTATTAAATAAGGGCTGATCCAGCAGCAGATGCCTCCGTGCTGATTCAGCTGCACTCACTGCCACAATATGGGAATGAGCTAAAGCAGAGGTTTCCAATTCACCTGGCCTTGCAGGCTAGATCCAAACCACAAGACTTCTTGACCCACCTTCACCAGTGAGGTGACAGCTTATTGGCACAGCTACCAGAACCACTATGTTAGTGCAGGTCTGGAACCCAGGAGATGAATGCTATACAGGTTTCCCTTGATTTATGCTGTACATGTGTTCCTGGAGAATGGTGCATAAATCGAATTCCCATAAAGTGATCCCACTTTACAATGTAACAAATAGGGATAGGTTCCCAGGGAGGTGAGGGAGGGAGAGAGGGAGTGAGGGAGTGAGGCTGGGACTAGGGAAGGGGCAGGGGAGAGGTGCCGCTCCCAGGGCTGCACAAGACAGCAAAGCAGAGGCAACAGAGAGGCACTTAACCCCAGCACCAGCTAGCTGCAGTGGCCCCAGGAGCAGCCAGCACCAGTTGCCTGCAGCCACTGGGCTGCACCATGCTCTGCCTGTCTCCACTCACCTCTGCTCCTGGGCTGTACCGTGCCCTGGTGCAGGCAACTGGTGTCAGCTGTTCCTGGGGCTGCTCTAGCATGGGCTGGGGTGAGTGCGGACAAGCGGAGCCCTAGGCGGCACGGGGCATGGCACTCACCCCATCCTATACTGGAGCAGCCCCAGGAACAGCCGACACCAGCTGCCTGCACCACGGCACGGCGCAACCCAGGAACTGGGGTGAACCCAGGTGTGGGGGGACAGGCGGAGCATGGTGCATCCCAGCAGCTGCAGGCAGCTGGCATTGGCCGCTCCCGGGGCCACTGCAGCCAGGGCTGGGGTGAGTGGGGCCACGGCTCTTTCCCCTCCCCACACAGACTTACCTGTTTCAGCGGGGGGTGTCTATGCTGATTTCATAAGAGTGAATTTACCTCGCATATAACAAATTATAGGTCTAAATATGCTCATCACATAAGAGCGAATTCGCATATAAAGAACCCGCATAAATCAAAGGAAACCTGTATTGCCACTCTGCCCCCTTTTCTCCAGCTGCTAATTTTAGTCACCAGTCGTAAAGAAAGGATATTGGTGGGGGTGGAGGCAAGCAACAGCAGTGTTTAACTCCTGGCTTCCGGAGCCAGGCCGACCAGCCCTGTGAGCTGCAGCTGAACCACTTGCCAGTTGGACACCCCTGAACTAAGGCATGGCTCAGACTTTAGAGATGGAGGGACAAGAGAACAATTTTGGTCAAAGTAGGATACCCTAGAGAAAATGAAGCCTAACCTCTAATGGGAAGGAGAAGCAGCTGCGCCCAAAGTACCAGCTGAGGAGGAAGAAGACCACTTAAGATATGTCTACATGGCCAGCACTACTGACAAGTTCACACACACACGCAACTTGCTCCTGCTCAGCACAAGCCAAGCCCTGGAAATGAGGCAATGCAGTCACCTTAGAGCAGACCTGAGAGTGTACCCAAAAGCATGTCCAGTACAGAGAGCCTGAGAGATGTTGGGTGCATGTGTAGAGCCAAACTAAGATGCCTATATTACCTCATTTGGAGACTCAGTGTGTGGACTAGGAGGACTTGCCTTATAGTGGTGTCCCTGCAGCTAGCACAGAGGTGATGTAGACATATTCCTCCTGAGTCTCTATTCCCACTCACTGCAGCTTCTGGGTTTTTCTTGGTGGTCAGCCTGCCTGACCTACCTCACCGATGAGACAGAACAGACTACAATTTAACACAGAATGGTGGCAGGTACACGTAGCCAGGGGGTGGGAGTTTTGTGACTTTATACTAGGACTGAACTAGATATAGCTGCTATCCCTCGATACGAGGATAATGTCTGCTGGTGGGGGGATTAGTAGAGGGCTGAGGAATCCAAATCTGTGCTTTACAAGTTTTTTCCACAGATATGACAAGTGGTGCCTTGGGTAGGGCACAATTGTTGACCACAGTGTTGTACATTTTCCTTCCTCTCTGCCATTTTTCGGCTTCCTGAGCAAGACTGTTCTCTTCAAAGTGGGCTGTAGCTTGATGTATGGTGCAGTGCCATTGAGACCTGTTAGCAACCAGCACTTCCCAGTTTGTATGGTTGATGCCACCCTTCTTAAGGGATGCTTTAAGGGTGTCCTTGTAGTGCTTCCTCTGTCCTTTGTGGGTCCTCTTACCATGATTAAGTTGAGAGAAGAGGACTTACTTCAGGAGACGAGTGTCAGCCATCTGCACACAGGGCCCAGCCCAGTGAAGGTTGTGTTTCATGATCCTTGCCTCAATGCTGATTATGTTACTTGCAGAGAGGATGCTGACATTGGTGCAATGGTCTTTCCATCTAATGTGAAGGATCTTACTGAGACAATATTGATGGAACCATTCCAGGCGCCTAAGATGGTTTTGATATGTCTCCCACGTCTCATACCCATAGAAAAGCATGGGAGTAACTACTGCATTGTAGACCAGGATCTTAGTTTCCATCTGCAGATTTCAGTCAGCAAAGACATGGCAAAACAGCTTTCCAAAGGATATGCTGGCATAGCGAATCCTATGGTTGATTTCTACATCAAGACTGACTGACTGGGATAGGTGACTATCAAGGTATGGAAGACAAGGTTCTTTGGGTAGATGTGATATCTTTTATTAGGCCAACTGAGTAGTTGGAAAAATGTTCTTGGCAAGTTTTCAGGTGCAGTCACCCTTCTTCAGGCATGGGGAGTCTCTGCTGTTCTGAAACTCCAAGAAATGAGAGAAGCTAAAAGTGTGGCAGGATGCCAGTGAAAATGTAAATAGGTAGAATTAGAAAGACAGAAGGTGAAGCAGAAAGGTAAAGCAAAGGGAGCAGGGGGAAGGGGAAGAGAACAGGGGACAAGAATAAAAAAGGCTGAAGGGAGACATTACAGTGATAGAATACAAGGTAGAAAGGAGTCTGTCAGTGAAAAAGAAAATAGTTGGAGATCAGGAAAACAGGATTGAGAGAAGTTCAAAGTGTGAGAGGATGCAGTGAAAATATAAACAGGTAAAAAGGAAAAACTACAGGTAAAGCAGGAGAGAGAGGGGGAAGAAATCAGGGGAAAAGAAAGGCCAAAGGGAAATATTACAGAGGAAATAATACATGGTAAGAAAGAGGCTATCAATGAAGAAGGATATAGCAGGAAATCAGGGAGACAAAGGGCAGAAAAGTGGGGGATGGGGGGGAAGAAAAGGTGGGGAAAAAGAAGAATGTAAGAGGTCAGGTCAGGCAGGCACCTGGTGAATCATATGTCAAGCAGATTGTAATGTGTCATAAAATCAATGTCTATACTGAGTCCATGGTTTTACAAAACATCTTCCGTAGATGAGCCTATGAATTTCACTTAGTAAATCTACTGAATACAAAAAATCATTACTGTCTTTCTAATTTCTACCTATTCACATATTCACTGACAAGGTATGGGAAATGCTCAACGTTTTCCAAGGGTTCTCCACCAATGGTAATGAGGTGATGCTGAAAGAGATGGGAGACCATGTTCTTGAGAGCTCTATCACAACTCTTTTAACCGCACAATGAGACTTGTCCAGATTCTGCAGCTTGTCACTGAGGGTATTTGGTTTCCCCATGCTTCTGAGTTTGCTTTGCTGGTTACAACAGAGACAAGGAAGGATTTTATTTTTACAATATTTATCCTCAGAAGCACCGGGTAGAGGCTGCCACCATGGCTGAAGATTTTGAGTGGGGTGTACTGATGCTCCTGCTGGGAATTTTTAAAAAAATGCAAAGGTTCCTAGCTAGAGAGTCTTGCTCTTCTGCTCAGAGTCAGATCATTTGCCACAGTTGGGATCAGAGAGGAATATTACCCCATTGGCAGACTGGTATGGACTGTGGGGGTTTTGCCTTCCTGTATAACAGACGGTATGCTCTTCTTCCTTGGATCTCTTCAGCTTATTTTAACAACTAGTTATTGTCCTTGGCCGGTCACTAATAGTACCCTCATCCCCCTGCTTTACCTGTGGTAAGTTAAGGTGTTTTTGATATTTTCAGGCATTCTGCCTGATAGTTGTGTAAGAGGATTGTTTGTGAACCTTTAAGAACAGATTAGATAAGCACGTCTCTGATGGTTAGATAAGGATGATCCTGCCTTGAGCAGGGGGTTGAACTAGGTGGCCTCATGTGGTCCCTTCTGGCCCTACTTTTCTATAAGTCTATGAAAGTGTTAAAACTGCCTCAAAACATCATTGGTCTGGAATGCTACTGGGTTTGTTTCTTCTTTCCTCTTTTTAATAATGATACAATATGGCTTACAGGTATTCATTTATTTTACCTATTGCCTCTAGCCCTGTACTCTCAGTGAAGTACACAATAGGCTTGTCTATGCATACATTAATGCACCTTTGATATTTCACATTTAGTACCTCTAATATGAGGTACTACACAAATGTGCAGTAGCCAACACTACTGTACAGTAGCAAAGGCGCACGGTCTTTTTGTGACACAATGCACAGTGGACTAACTCTACTGCACATTACCACATTAGCACAGCTTTTGATGTGACATGCTAACACACAATAGAATTAGTTTACTGAGCATTAAGCATCTTGTGTAGACACGCCCAATCAGGAGACTTTCTTTATGCAGGTTTGCCTTAATATACTGCTTATTAATGAAAATATTCCATGCCTTAAGCAACCGCTTTGTCCTGCTTCAATCAAGTAACATTTTGAGCAGTCACACATGTCCCTTATCTCCTCCTCCCTTCCCAAACCATAATTCTTCATTTACCCAAACTGAGTACAAAAGGTACCTGGAGTGTCACAAGAAGGAAAAAGCAGGTCACGATGCAAAAGCAAGATGCCCAAAGTTTCTTCCTCCTGATCCTAATCATGCTGTACCGTGAGGCATGCAGAGTAGCCAGCAACAGTTAAGGCTTGGTCCTAGGCATACCAGTTTGTTCCACATGTTCCATCATGCCTCCTGCACTTTCCACTCTGTTCTTCTCCCCTGCCACCACTGCTGAGAATGCGACACAATCAAGGACTGTGGTTTTCTGTGGACACCAGACCAGCATTTTGAGCCAGACATGTCTTAGCACTGGATGAAGCAGCTAAATCAAACATGGAGGTAAGAGAGAGACATTAGAAACCTGTATATTATGGACAAAAGTGCAACTACAATTGTTGATAAGTGGGCCCTGAAGGTGACATCTTCACTATGTTTCAGATAGTGGTTGTGAATAAGCCTACCGTCTAATAAAACAGACTAGACTGATTCTCCAGTGTCTTGAACTTTATGCAGTTATCTGTCCTTGTGCAAAAAACCTATAGTAGGTCACTGTCTGTCAGTATGTGGAGAATTCTGGCTGATGGTTGCTGTAACAGCATGAACAGCTAGTGCTTGACACAGCTACCCAACCCCTATGAGCCTGAGAAATAATACCAGAACAAGAATGCCTACATACTACTGAAACAACATTATGACTGGGGATTCGGGTTTTTTGTTTCCCACGGAAAAATGGAGTAAACAGTGGATTTTACCTTTTGTCAGAGGCAAACGCAGATTTCTCATTTTACAAGAAAAACCCACAGATTTTGCTATTTTGCAATGAGCTCCCTGCAGGCTGGTGGAGTTCCAGCCTGCAGAGAGCTGGGAGGGAGCAGGAGGAGGGCGGTCAGGCACGGGGTGCCACGTGCATGGACATGCATGTGGCCCCAGGCAGCCTGCAGAGCAGCTCCACCAGGTAAGTGAGGAAGAGAGGGGGATTGAGGCCCCTGTAGGGAGGGAGGGACGGAGGGAGCTGGGCAGGGGCTTGGGGCCTGGGGCCACAATGCACGGCTGCAGGGCCCCAGCAGGGAGCAGGAGGATGGTGCTGTGGGTGGTTCATCCAAGGGAAGGTTGGGCTGGCTCCCCACTGCTTCATGCACTCCCAGGGAGCAGGGGGGACCTGTGCATGGGTCAGGGGCAGGCTGCAAGCATGGGCTACCACCCTGCTTCCCTCCCATCAGGCATGACCCGGCATGGCTGGGGATAGTGGGGCCACATAGACATCTTCTCATTTCTGCAAACTCTCCCCCTCCCCTCGCTGCCCTGGCAATGTGCCCCCTGCACATGCCACTGCTTTGAGGGGCCACAGCCCCACGCGCAAGAGGCATGTCACCAGGGCACTGTGGGGTGAGCAGTGGTGAGCTTTTCTGCACGACTCTGGTGCTCCCTCCTGTGCTGGGTGGCGCCCGCTGGGCTGCAGAGGCGCCAGAGAAGGGAAGCAGGGTGGCAGGTAACAGTGGGCCTGCACAGAAAAGCTGCTTGCTGCTGCTCACTCCTCACTGCTTCCTTCCCCGCAGGGCCTCCGTGGCCCGGAGGGCACCACCTGGTGCAGCAGGGAGCACCAGAGCCACACAGAGAAGCTGTTCACCCCTCACTGCCCTGGTGACACACCTCCTGTGTGTGGGACTGTGCCCCTCAAAGCAGTGGCACGTGCAGGAGGCACATTGCCAAGGCAGTGGTGGGGAGCTCGTAGCGGCATGGAGATCCCCCTGCGACCCCACTGTCCCCAGCCATGCTGGGTCTTGCCCGCTGGACTGTGGAGGCCCCAGGGAAGGGAAGCAAGGTGGGAGCTTGAGCCCACAGACTGCGCTTTGCCTATGTAGAGATCTGGGGGGCACGGGTCCCCCCTGCCCCCTGGGAATGCATGTGGCAGCAGGAGCCACCCTTCCCGAGCCCGCAGCAGGCAGCAGGGGGGAGCGGGGACAGGGAGCTGTGGATCCAAGTCTGTAGCCGTGGCAGCTGGGGGCCTTCTCCTGTAGGGCTGGGGGAGCAGGAACTGTGCATGGGGGACAAGGGGCACCAACAAGGCTGTGGGAGCTGTGGGGGGGGGAGGGAGTGAGAGGCACCAGCAGGGCCAGGGGCCTGTTTTAGGGGAGTGAGGGGCACCAGTATGGCTGGGGGGCTCCTGTGGGGGAGTGAGGGGCACAAGCAGGGCTGGGGGGCTGTTGTGGGGGGAGTGAGAGGCACAAGCAGGGCCAGGGGGTTGTGGGGGGTAGTGAGGAGTACCAGCAGGGTTGGTGGGGTGCTGTGGGGAGCCTTTAATTTTAATTATGGATTTGGGGGGGGGTTATAAGAGAATTTGAGATTTTTTACCAGGGAAAACCAGGATCCCTAGTTATGACTGGTTACTTGTGTCATAAAAAGCCCCAAGTGATAGGGGAGGAAGGGAGTATCAACAATTAGAGGAGACTAATGCACCTCCTAACTTGGTCTAATTAGTGTCTAGCTGTGAGGCCCTCCCCTAACTATTTGCCTGCAAACCTAGCACCATAAGCTTCTCCTGTAACCTGTCCCTGCACAGCAGAGAGGTAGAACATGCGCATTCTACTTTGGCAGTGTTTTATATGCCCTGCACAGTGACCACACAAGACACAAGGGTCAGACCTGGCAGTGGTACCTGCCAGAGAGACTTGCGTTTTGAAACTCAGGGCCAGATTCACTGCTTTGTCCAAGCTGCTTTGTCCTGAGCTGACACACTGGTGAGTCTGTCGCAGAATGGGTCAGTCATGCCAGGTATATGTTGAAAGTACCTACTCAAAATAAAAGGGTTAAAGCTCCTCCAAGGCCCCTCAGACTATGGCAGGCCAGTCTCTGGAGGCAACAGTGCACAAAGAAATAATGAGCCTAGCATTACTTCCAAGCCACCTCTGATGCCCTAGCCTAGTGACCAATTCACACATTACTGTGCTTTCTTGCATATAAAATACCCCCAGATTTAACACACACCCTATTTTTGGAAGGCCTCAAGAAGGATAAAAGATCTTATGCTGGAGTACAGGTAAGTACCTGAAGTCTGGGGTCTCTGGGGCTGAGGCCACACAACAAGGCCTGATCCAGCATGTTGGCACTGGGGCTGCATGGCAGATACGACCCCACATGCTGGCTTCAGAGCCATATGCCAAGTTCAGGACTGCATGATTGTTCTGGAGGCACACACTGAGTCCAACCTGGCACATGACTCCAGAGCTAATACATGGGATCAGACCCAGAATGCTGGGTCCAGGGCCACGTAGTGGGTTAAACCCTGTACCCGAGACCAACCCCTCGTGCTGGCCCAATTCAACATGCAGCTGGGGGGTCCCCCAGGTGAGGAAATTTGATGGACAGGGCAGCAGGGACTGGGGCACTGAGTGTTAGTGGCATTAACTGCCATTGCTCTGTGGCAATTAATGCTGCCATTGCTCCCCTCTCTCCCCACCACCACCATATTTCCAGACCCATAGGGAGCCCATTTTCACACATATAATACATACCTGAATTTTTCCCAGTTGGCTTTTGGGGGAAAAGGTGCAGGCTATTTGTGAAAAGCTACCATAAATGCAACAAAGAAATTCCCTTTTCTCTAAAATGTATTTTCTATGTCTCAGTCTGGTTCTTCTGTTGTAGTGGCCATCTTTCTCTCTCTCTCTCCCTCTCTCTCTCTCTCTCTCTCTCTCTTGCTTCATTTAATTCTGTCTGAGATCTTCTGTGTTCCCTAGTCTTTTCCTGTCCTGCTCCAAATCAATGTTCTATGTTGGCTGAGGAAGAAATAAAATTATCAAAGCAAATAATACAGGCATAACCCCATAACAAGTTTTTAGTGTTTGCTAAGAGGTAGCTACTCTACCTATTGCTTCTAGACAACCTCCTGTTGAGTTAAAGCAATAAAGTGATACAAAAAAGTCAATAACCAAGCTAACATACAGTATTCATAGTGACTAAGTACATAGAAAATCAAGAACATACACGTAGTGGCCAACTGTGAACATTTTCATTTATGTTACTTGCCCAGCAATACACAGGTACTCTCTAGAAGAGGTGGGGATACAATTTATGTCTGCAGGATGGCACTCCACTTTCTGAACCATGAAATGATCTATCCTTTCTCCCCCAGCAATTGTCCTGACTCATTCATTACATACTACCCAGCACCTGGGATCTACTACTATAGCAGAATATAGCAGAAAGCAAGGATCTGACACAGGCTCACTTCCTACACATCTTGACTTCCCAGAACACCATCCATTCTGTACAGTGAATGAGACAATGGTACTATGGGAAAAAATGTATGTGACCAAGTAATTAAGAACTATCACAATACACATGCACAAGACGCCCAGTAGCCTTTAACATGACCTGCTAACTCGTGTAACAGCCTAATTTTACCTAGTATTTTATCTCAAATTAGTTAAATCTTCATAATGATGTAATCCCACTGGCAGGTTGTAGGAAGTGAGTAAGCAGAGGAGTGTTTTGTACCTTATGCTAAGTTTAGGGCCAGATTTTCCAAAAGTTAAGCTCCCATAAATTAAGTGGTATTTTTAAAAGTGTTCAGTGCCTCAATCCTCTTGTTATTCTCCATGAACACTGCTGGGTGCTGAGGACATCTAAAAATCTGACACTTTAATGTTCTTCAAATAAAGGGAGACATGTTCTAAATATATTATGCTATAGTTTTTTTTAAAATGGGCCTAGATTTAGCAAAGCTTGCCAGTCCTGTTGCTTTTATGGGCATGGTTGATGGATTAAATGACTTTCTTAAAAACCCAGCTCCTATTGTTATGCAAATACATGCGGGTTTCAGATTTCATTTAAAAAACAAAACAAAACTCTGTTTCTAGTCCTCAGTGATGAGGAGAGAAACTTGAAAACTTGATGAATCTCTCCTGACAACTCAGAAACTAGAAGACAAAAAAGAACCCAAAGTGCACTTCAAAAAAAACCTCGTGTTTTTTAGTCAATCTCATGACTTTTTGAGGCCTGTCTCAGCATTTTCAATGTGATGAATTAGCTGCTAGATGCTCTGTACTTTATGTGCATCAAGGCTGCTCTGAAACACTGTAATTACAGCGCGTCACAGCAGACTTGATTAATCGAGCCTGTTGGAGCATGGTAATTACCACATTCTGGCACGTGGTAATTACCGTGGTCCAACATACTCCAGCGTCATGTGTAACAGCATCCCCATGCTGAAAAATGGCAGCGGGGGTGCTTTAATTAGAGCTCGTTCAATGAGTTTTACTTAAAGCGCCCCCGTTGCCATTTTTCAGAGCAGAGATGCTGATACATGTGACACTCCGGGCACTTCAATTAAAATGGCTCTTTAATTAAAGCACTCCCCTCCACCCTGCCGCCTCCCTAAGCATGTGTATAAATGCCCCAAATTTTTATTTAAGTACTTTTTGCCCAAGCATTTCATATCCTGCAGCCAAAGATTACATGTATAGCAGTCCAAATTCTATATTCCCTTACACAGTCTACATCTAAAATAACTCATCCAGAACAGAATTTAGTATGGCTTCTATAATACAATGAACATTTTCTTGTCCTTGCTTACTGACAAAACTAAGAATCTAATTATTAATTAATGAGGCTGAAGTTGTCTTTGTTTGGGAAAACATGCAGTATTGGCATGTTGAATTCTATCATCTGCATGATATCATGTGATTACATACTAATGCAGTGGTATTCTTGCTAATTTGCCGTACCCCAAGGTCGAAACTTTTGTGAAGTAGCAGTAAATAGTTATATCCTGGTAACAACTCTGAAAGCTGAGTTGACTGGGCACTGAACAGACCTTAGAATATCTGAGGCAGATTTCAGAAATTACTGCCTCTTTTTGTCCTATGGAATGCAGCAAGCTCATTAAAATGGCACTAATACATCTTTGAAACGTCATCTTGCAAATTACCAAAAACTGTGCTTCTCAGCTACAGACTGATTTTTTTTTTCGTTCCCAAAACTACATCAACTTAATCTGTTCCACAACAACAACCCAGGACTCAAGGTTTGCTATGCCTGTTCCTCATTTCAAACCTTTCAGACTAGCAGATGGCTCTGCATCTTTTTGAGCATCACTACATGCCAGGCTGTTACACAAACCAGGAAATCCTTCTGCAGTGTTTCCTTTAGTTTTTTTTAAACTTACCTCATGAAAATTGGTCCTGTTTCATGCCATTGTTTCTAAGCTGTTTTTTACTTTCAGTTTGTGCATCTACTTGGGATCAGGATAAAACCTGGATTGAAGGATATTTCAGAGCAAATGAAATGTGGCGAGAGTCCCCCTTGAGAGGAGCCAGTTCATGTTAATCCAGAATCCAGGGTTTTTGTAGTTCCATTAGGAAGGAGAGCAGCAGCCAAGATTCGGATATTTCCTAGATCCCGAATGTTCTGCAAAGGAAACTTAACAGACTATAATTACACTAATAGTGTCCCATCAATTTTTTAACTGATCTTCCAGGAAGTTCCAAACAAGGAAATCTCAGCAAAAATCTGTTCTCTGTGATGACTTTAATATTTTTTTTTGACAATGACACAGTTATGTTAGCCTGTGCTGGTTCCTCAGAGGACTTAGATTCACTGCGTTCTGCCAGAGGGTTGCCAGTTATAAAAAGAAATGCGTCACCAAAGTCGGGAATCTCTCAAGTGCCTTGTGAGCTCCAGGCTTTACAGACCATGCAAGGGCTGAAGTGCATATGCTCGGCAGTTTATGAAATCAGACGTGGTATGTGGCATTTTGAAATCAACTTGTTATGCTCAGGATTAAAAGACTGCATAGTCATCCTCTAGCAGCTGATCCTAGGCAAGGTATAAAAGAGCATCATTCTGCTCTGCTAGATCTGAGCACAGAAGTGCTGCAAGCAAAGCAGTAGGAAATAGGCACTCCTGTCTAAGAACACTTTGGAACTAGTTTCTTTTAAAATGTTTACGGTAAAAGATATGTTTAATTTTGAAAGCAAGTTACTGTGGCCTGACTCAACCCTTTTGGGAGTATGTCAGAAAATGTTATAGTTTATGCTTTGGACATCAAAGCAAGAAGTGGGCTGCCTAAGAGGAAAAAAATGACCCAAAAGATTTAAGAAATTGGTACCTTGTTCTGCAACTGATGGACCAGAAAGAGCCCAGGCTACTTGTGGTGTAAGAGGGGGGAAAAGAAATGGCATTACACATGGAGAAGGCATGAAAAGATTAGAAGGAGTAACACAGGCCCTGGGAGTGAAGGGCAGATTGAAAGTGTGTGGAGGAGGAATCAGTGGCTCTAAAATGATACATGCATTACATATGCATGATCTATATAATTTATATACATGTTGCATGTAGGCCAGGTAAGGTTTGGTTGCTCTGTCAGTACAGACAGGTTTCAGAGGAGGGAGTGAAAGAGGCTCCAGGTAAATGTGGCAGCGAAGGAGACAGAAGCATGTTTGAAGAGAATGTCAGGGGTGCAAAAGGGAACCTGAAGAGGGGGTGAAGAGAAATGGCATGTGGGAGATAGAGGCTGAAGGAACAAGGAATGAGACAGCAGAAAGGATTCATAGATTAGATGTTAGGGGCTGGAAGGAACCTCTTGAGATCATCAGGTCCAGCCCCCCTGAGCTTGGGCAGGAAAGACTGCTGGGGTCAAATCAGTGGCAATGTGTAGGGGGTGCACATGCATCCTTTGAGAGCACCAGTGCACCCCCTGACTAGCCACACTTGCTGCATAGGCAACAGGCGGGGGGGGCAGGTGGGAGCGCCAGTGGTCCCCCTGCAAGCACCGGCCTCAGTGATCAGCCACAGCGATCTGCCAGTCGGTGGGATCGGCCAAGAGGGACCCCTAATCAGCGAGATTGGCCGTGGTGGGGACCTCCCCCCTATTGCTGACTGGTCGCTGGGGGAACATGTGCTCCCCCGACTAAGGCAGCACCAGTCGCCCATGCAAAGTGCGCATCCAGACATTTACTGAAGATATCCAGAGTAGGTGACTGTACCACCTCTGGGGGGAGTCTATTCCAGACCCTGGACATTCAAGTTGTAAAGAAGTTTTTCCTTATGTCTAATCTAAAGCAGTCTCCTAGCAATTTATGACCTTTAGTCTTAGTCTTCCCCTGGAGAGCCCTGGTGAACAGATGTTCTCCCAGTGCCTGATATGCACCCCTTATATACTTAGAGGCTGCCACCAAGTCCCCTCTGAGTCTTCTCTTCTCCAGGCTGAACAGACCCACGTCTCTCAGCTTCTCATCATATGGCCTGCTCTCCGTACCTCTAACCATACGCGTAGCCCTTCTTTGAACCCTCTCAAGCCTCTCTACATACTTCCTGAAGCATGGTGCCCAGAACTGTATGCAGTACACCACTTCTTGCAGTATTCATTTCAGCCAGACTGTCACATGTAGCCAATACTGGCAGTGATATGGTGTCAAATCAGTTAATTATAGAGACTAGAGCAGTGCTTCTCAACCTTTTTAGACTCAAGACACCCCTTGGAAAATGCCAGTTTTTGGTTTTCACTCTTTTTTTTTTTACTTTGAAATAATAATAGGATAATTCTTCTGTTGCAAAGAATTCAGAAAGCCCACAACAGGTCAGAATGTTTTTAACACTGTGGATTCCTATTTGAAATCTTAGGGTTTATCTTATGAATCATGTTTGCATGCCTAACAGTGCTCATATTGCATGGCACCCTGCATCACCCTTGGAAGGATCTGAAGGCACCCTAGTTGAGAATCACTGGGCTAGAGACAAACCATAGATGCATTCCTTACCTCCCTTTGCCACCCAGTGGAATTCAGCTGCTACTGCAGCCTCTGATCTGAACTGTGTTCATATAATACAGGTTTCCGTCACTTTATGCAGGTTCTGTATGTACGAATTTGCTCTTATGCGATGACCCTTTTTATACCAAAAATTCATTCTACGCAAGGTAAATTCACTCTTATGTGATCTGTGTGGTGGAAGCCCACAGTCAGCTGGTTTGTGCGGTGCATTGTGGGAGTGATGTACACCAAAATACAGTCTCCTGTGTGGATCTGTCCTCCTCAGTCACTATCTGCGACACGTTTCTGTAGTTGCCATCCTCATTATGATAACATTCTCCACCACCCTGTGCTTGTGTGTACTGTCTGCTGTTGGTGAGTACCAAAACTGTCTTGTAAAAGTGGTAGAAATGGGTCTGGGGGTCAGTACAGTCGAGGTCTTGCAACGTATCCCTATCTGTTATATTGTAAAGTGGGTTCCCTTTATGCAAATTTGAGTTATGCGCTATTTTCCAGGAACACAGGTGCAGCATAAAGTGAGAAAAACCTGTATCCCTGGCTGGCAAAGGCTACATAAACACAAGTAAGGTAAGAGTTATATAAAATACATCTAAGCCAAAGTCAATGCCCAATTTAACCTTCCTCAGAATAACAGCCTCAAATTAATACAATTCACTGAGCCTAACAGGATTCTAAGTGAGTCCTTTAGCCTGTTGGCTTTTGCAGAAACCATTCCCTTATAGGCTCCTCAGCCATTCTTCAAAGCAAAGATTAGTCCAAACAATCCAAAATCCTTATCTTCTCCTGGATACTAGGAGGGGAAGCTGCTTTCTGCTCTGGCCCCAGGACACCAACCTGACTCCCACCCCCAACCTTGCAACAAACTATTCCCTTCATATCTTGATTACTTCTCTTGAAGCTTTTAAAACTCCCAGTGGGACATTCTCTTCTTACCCAGATGCCCACAGCAGGGCAACTGTTCCTCCCTAAAGGGAAAGTCTACCCTGTTACTGGGATAAAATTAGGAAAAGAAAAAATTACCTTGAACATCAGGAAAATATTGATGAAGTGGTGTATGAAACTGCAATCGTTTCTCTAAGCAGGTGATGAAATCGCTTTTGTTTCAGGCTTTTAGAAGTAGAGAACATAGTGGAGGATATAATCTGATAATAACAGACAGGACGGTCTAACATTGACTGGTATCAATAATACCCATTTAATGTTTCCTCTATCTTTCCCTTTATTTGGGCAATAATATTACACTCACCTTTTTCATATGAGCCATTTTTTGTCAGTGTATTTTTTATAACCCTAAGGATATAATAAGCCAGATCCTCAACTGGTGGAAGAACCATATCATTGGCAAACCCTCACGGTCAAGGATGATCACCCCCAGCAGTGAAGTAAAGGGTTGTAGATGAGTCCACTAATGGCTAAGAAGGCCTATCCTAGAACCACAGACTCTCTGGCAGATGCCACAGGTGGTGGTTAAAGGGAGGGCTGAACCACATATTTCTGTCTTGTTTCCTTTCCTTCTGTTTCTGTCATTTTTCTGCCTCCAAGGTGAGACAGTTTTCCTCAAAATAAGATGCACCTTTTCTCACAAGATGTCATCATGTAGCCCTGTCCCAAGCTAGTTTTTCCCAACTTGTGGTGTCAATGCCCCACTTCTTAATGTCTGCCATGAGGATGTCCTTGAAGCATTTCCTCTGGCCCCAACATGTCCTTTGCCCTTGGCTAGGTTGGGCTATATGGACTAGGTTGGGCCACGGCAGGGGGTCGGACTAGATGATCTGCTAAGGTCCCTTCCGACCCTAGAAACTATAAACTATGAGCTCATGCTTGTCCCATTTCTTCTAGCTTTAAATTTCCACTTACCTTTTCCATTAAATCAGCCCTCCAGAATTGGGGTGTGTACTGTATATTAATCAGGTAGGCTGACTTTCTGGCTGCGGTTGGAAACATCCTGGTTTGATTTGGCTCCACACTGTTGTTGCATGCTGTATGTGAGAAAAATGTTATTCACGTTATATTTCTCTGTACATGTTTAGTCTGAAAAATTTAAGACATTTCTTAAATTATTTTTATTCAGCTTGGTTTTCTACCTGTACAGTTATGTGTTTGGTTGAGTTTGGTGTTGTTGTTTTGTTTTGCTTTGGTATTTGTGCTTCTCTGCATGGTTTGATCCTGTTTTTGGTGATGGTGTCATATATTATGGAAATTTTTCTAAATTTTTTTATCACTCTTCCAGCCTATGTTGTTTTTTTCATTGCTATTTGTATTTTTTTTATCTTTCATTTTGTTTTGCTTGTGCATATATATTGGTTTTACTACTCTGCATTCTATAACCCTGCTTCCTTGGTTTAGCTATTTCTGATTACCTTCTTTCTCTTGCTATAAGTGCTTTTCTACACTTTCTTCTGTGACTATTCATAGTTCTATTGTCCAGAACAGATTTTCCTTACATTATTGGTGTGTTTTACTTGTTACAGTATTACAATAGGTCTTATGGTAGTACCTAGAAGTACCAACTGAGTTAAGCACTCAGTTGTTCCAGGTACTATATGAGTGCACAGCAGGAGATG